CGGGTTGTGGGTTCGATCCCTTGTGTGGGGCATGCAGGAGCCAGCCGATCAATGATTCTCTCTCATCATTGATGTTTCTATCTCTCTCTCCCTCTCTCTTCCTCTTTGAAATCAACAAAAATATATATTATTAAAAATATATTTCATTTTCAAAATGTAATAGAATCTATAGATATTGAGCATATTTTCATTTGGATGTTAAGGGCCACTGGCAAAGAACACTCCACATCTGTGCTTTTCATTGTGCCTTACCCCACAAGTATATTCTGAATTCCTGGCATCATTCTAATTTCAACCATTCTGCTTCTTTGCCCCACAAACATGCTCCTACTTAACAGACTAGGGTGCAGAAAGCATTATCACTGTGAGCTGTGGTCATTGGGGAGAGGGAAAGGGGTTAAACCCCAGCTCAGCTGTGGGTTCATCAGGAAGCCGCTTTGCTATAAACATACTTCTGGTGTCTGCCAGATTTTCCCCTAAGAAACATTTCCAAAAATGGGAAAAAGTGTTTAAATCAGGAAGGATTACTGCTTCAGCTTTGAGAAATGCGACTGCATTATATCTAACTACATTTACAATGACCTGGCAAAAATACCACATAAACAAAACTGCTAAGCTGATAAGAACCTAGCTAATTTGAGGACATATCTTCATTTAATAACCATTCAAAGATATTTCCTGAGCACTACTTTATGCAAGGCACTCCCAGGAATATGGAGATGAATATGAGACAATTTCTGCCTTAGAGGCTCATTAATTTGGTAGCTCAGATATTCACTATTTCCAAAAATGCAACAAATAAAAATGAAGTTCCTAGTATGTGTCAGACATAGTTCTAGGGACTGAGAACACAGTGGCGAAAAAAGAGAATGTCCTTACTCTCAGAGAGTTTACAATCCTGTGGAGATAGGTGGACAGCAGAAGAGTTAAGAAATGGGAAAATAGAATTTAATTAGTGGTAAGTACTGTGAGGAAAATAAAACAGTTTAATAGAGTAGAGAAGATCTTGGTGCAGGCGGCTACTTTACTTATTTTTTATTTCATTAAAAATTTATTTTTGGACCTCAAACTGGGTACATTCCCAAACAGTAGCAATACAGAGTATTTAAAAACATCTTAATATTTCGTTCTCTTCAACATTCCACCTTTGTTTTGCTTTCAATAAACAAATATACCAGATTAAAGCAACAATACTTAACCCCAAGTACAATGCTTAGTACTTTTAATTATCTATTTTGAGCACATAATAAAGTAGAGGCAATCAATTTTTCTTGAGCATGTTATTTCCATTCAGAGCTTAGCAATGACTTTAGCTTCACATTATTCTGTCACAAATGATATAACCAAAAGGCCTAAGTAACTAAAATCATAAAACTTTTTTTAAGTTAAGTCAATCATATGTATAAAGTTAATATAAAATAACAATTATAGCGGTACACATTTGTTTTGCACCCTGCTAGAAATATGCAAAATAACAGGTTTTATTAAAGAATGAAGCCCTAGGGCAAAGGATGGAGGAGTCGTATCATAAAAAATTATTAGTATCTTTCTGGTACTCCTGATAGATAAATTGGAGGCACCTGGTTTGGCCCGCCATTCAAAAGAGTACTTATCTCACCCAGCCAGCATGGTTCAGTGGTTGAGTGTCGACCTATGAACCAGGAGGTCAAGGTTTGATTCCCCGTCGGGGCACATGCCAGGGTTGTGGGCTCGATCTCCAGTGTAGGAGGCAGCTGAACAATGATTCTTTCTCATCAGTGATGTTTCTATCTCTCCCTCTCCCCTCCTCTCTCTGAAATCAATAAAAATATATTTAAAAATATATAAAAATAAAAAAGTATTTACCTCATATATTCTATCTCTTTGTCTTTTTGTTTTATGATCTAGGATAGTTCTTGGACTCTTTATTTCAGCCCATTTCGTGGCTTTTTAATTTCAGCAATTTTTACTTTTCAAAATTCATTTTTGTTGTTGTTCACTGATTGCTTTTTTCCCCTTATTTTTAGCAAACTATTCTTTTTTTTTTTTTAATCCTCACCCAAGGACATTTTTCCATTAATTTTTAGAGAGAGAGTGGAAGAGAGAAGGAAAGACAGAGAGAAACATCCATGTGAGAAAAACACATTGATTGGTTGCCTCCTGCACAAGTCCCGACCAGGGCCTGGGCTGGGGAGGAGCCTGCAACCGAGGTATGTGCCCTTGACCGGAACTGAACCCAGGACGACTCTTTGGGCAGGCTGACACTCTATCCACTGAGCCAAACTGGCTAGGGCTAGCAAACTATTCTTATTTTATTCATGCAATTGCTTCTTCTAAGAATAATAAGATTGTTTGAAAGTTCTTTTCTATTTCCTGAAATACAATGTGTTTATTCTGAGGTCAGTTATTCTATTTGCTCATCCTTATCCTCCTCCTGTGTTCCTGATTTCTCTCTAGTCCACTTAAAAATATGAGTAAAAGAGGAGTGTGTTGCTTTGGTTGGTTTTGTTTCCTTTGGTTAATTTTGTTTCCCCAACAGGCCACTACCCTGAGTGGGAGGATGGAACCATGAGTGCTGTGAAGGTAGGCAGTATGTATTGTTTGACAGGGTGCACCCTAGGTTACACAAGGAGCTTGCAGGAAAACTTGAGCCCTCAAGTTTAAAATAAAGTGGGTTTTACTCGGAAGTAATGACACCCATCTCAGAAGATAGCACTTTGTTTGGGACTGGAAGGTAAATACATTTCTTATTGCTATATTTATGTGATAGGTGTGACAGGATGGTGGTACAGAGGGCCAATTGTTGCCCATGTTGTTTTATATGGGCAGTTAAAAAAATTTTTTAAATTGATTTCAGAGAGGAAGGGAGAAGGAGAGAGAGACAGAAACATCAATGATGAGAGAGAATCATTGATTGGTTGCCTCCTGCATGCCCCATACTGGGGATCAAGACCGAAACCCAGGCATGTGCCCTAACCAGGAATCGAACCGTGACCTCCTGTTCATAGGTCAATGCTCAACCGCTGAGCAGGCCAGCTGGGCTATGGGCAGTTTTAAAATGAACTATCCTGACTAGTAGCCCGCATCCCGTCCTGTTCATTTTATATGTTCTTCTCATGTGGTCAATCTGCCATGTTAAACAGGACTTGTTATGTGTTTTAATTTTGACTCCTCAAGGAGACAGCAAATATAGCAAAAATAGCATTGACCCTGAAAAGTTATGCCTAGGTAGATAGATGTGACTATTAAATAAAACTATGTATGTAAAGTATCTGGCACATATTGATGCCCTCCCCTCCCCCCAAATGTGAACTTAAACACTTGAGGCCTAGTCCTAGGTCTTATACATCCTTATGATTCTCACCACACCTGGCATGCATTGGCTATATAATAAATCCTCAGTAAATATGACTTGATGACTTGACGAGTCATAGATAGACCTGTCTTCGCCATTATTTTTCTGTGGGATTTTATTATATTTATCTTTACTGTGTCTCAATTTGCATGTCTGTCCAATAAGTAAAACACTTCTTCATGTGCTTATTGTTCATGGATGTAGTAAGGCTGTGGTTAGTGAGTAATATGAAAATATTCTAAAAATGTTAAAATACCTCTACAGGTATAAATTATTATCACTACGCTTAAGACAGGTAAACAAGTAGTTGAAACTTCCTATGCATATGGAAGACATTCTGTTTTGAAGACAATCCTAGGCTAAATGACCTTGTTAAATGTCCAATGATATATGTTTCTTATATTATCAAAGGCATATTTGCCTACATCGCCTTTCTAATTTCTCAATTGTGATTGTCTTCCTCATTAAGAAACCAGAAAATGTCACTTTGTTTCAACTGCTGAAAGCTATGTAAACAGCAATAGAAAGATAATGAATATGAGTTTTTGGTCTCAAAGCTGAATAAACTTTCCTAATTTTCTAAAACTTATTTACTAAATTCAAAGGATTTAGAAAAAGAAATGTGATATTTCCCATAATAAATAATGGAGGGCAGGTAGTTATATAATTCGGATATTTATGAGAAGTATACAAAAAAAAGAGGCATTTTTGAATTTGCAGAGTCTAAGCAATAAAGTAAAATTAAAAACGAAAAGTCATATAATGAAGTATAGGCAGCACTAGAACTGCCTGGTTATGCAGAGAATTTCTTCATTAATCTGTCTATATCTGACAAGAATAAAGGCAATCTGTATATGTAGCATGGAAATAAAGTAATTGATTAATTAGTCTTCAATTCAGACTTCTATTATCAAGGCTGATTATTTTCTACTGTCGTGCTTTTCAAATTTAATTTCTTAGCTGCAGAATCCTCTATTTTCTAACTGAAGTCTTATAGAACAGATAAATGTGAAGCTGCTCTTTCTGAAGCAGGACCTTCAGAATGAGGAAGCCAGGACAAAATTTAACTGATCACCTCTCTTCCCCCTGCAGCAGCCACCAGACCAGGGGTGGGGAATGCCCAGCCAGCACGCCGCCTAAGGCCCACAAAATCATTTGGTCTGGCCCTGCCAAGGCATTAGGGGTGAGTTAATTAAATGTCTGACCAAATATAGCAGGCTAATTTTTAAGCTGGTAATTTTGTATGGCCCACGAATGATGCTATAAATATCCAAATGGCAGTTGGCAGAAAAAAGTTCCCCACCCCTGCCTTAGATTCATCTAAGAGTTTGAAAATCATCAGTTCAACTAAGGGGTTCTATTAGCCACGTAAGGTCATGAGTAAGACTGGTTATGAGAAAACAAAAACACATCTTAATTTCTAAAACAAGGCCCTTGATCCATTTTAAATAAATCATGACTATCCTCCACAACACAGTTATATACTAGAGAATTCCTTATCAATTGGCTCTGTTCTTTTCTACTTCAGACATTAGTGTGTGGGGGTCCCAAATATTGCTTGAGACTTTCAAAGAACTAAATCCCAAGTTGGAAATACCAGCTACTCCCACGGAAGGAAGGGAAGTATGTCTATTCATAAAGAAATGCAAAAAAGTCTTTAACTTACCCAGAGCACAAGGACATTCATGAGATGATCTATGTGTGTCCGTTTAAAAGAGGATTTTCCACTGTTCTGCATTAATTTGGTGTCTGGCCCTAATTGAAATAGGGAAACATCAGCTCTTAGAATTACTGAATATACCCAGAGGCTTGAAATTGGGTTGGAATGTGCCTTTATGATCATCTAATCAAACCTCTTTTCAGTGCCAGGGATAAAGCCCTGTAGTAAGGCTCATAGTTGGTGCAGTAACTCAAAGAATAGAAAATTTGTATCTAAGAATAACTCCAAGTATTTCTGCAAAGTGCAGCAATGCTGACCCTCTCATTGCAGCGCCTTAGACGTGTCATCTTTCACAGATAAGCTGAGTCAGAATAGAAGCCACAGCTTCTCTCTCATTACCACCTGGTTTACGTAGCTTAGAAAGGGGATTTTCTGATAAGGAGATTTTTATTTTTAGAAAACCCACCGTTGGACCAAGTTTTATTTAGTTTCTAATTGAGAAAGGGAAAAAGGAAAAGGCAACATCTTCTGAGGTGGAAGCTGGAGATCTGAGACTTCTTTGGAGCTGAGACAGAAAGTCCATATTTCTTCATGACAGGGCAGATAGTAAGCAGAAGTAAAAAGCTTTTAATGACCACAGGCACTAGAATTGGATATTTCTGACTAGAGAGATATGGTTACAGAGAAAACATAAGAGGTTTAGAAGAAAGTATAAGTAGCAATTTCTCTGGCCTTTTACCATCTGATTATTAGTCTTATACTTACTCTAATGAAGGAATTCCATCAATGTTTACATATGAGGGAGCTGAAACTTCCCTGGTATGTGGACAAACTGATGCAGTACATAAGCTATGCCGTTCTTTCCTCTTAAGCATTCCTTGAAGGTCTTGAACTAATGAGAAGCTGGCTGAGAGACTGAAAGCTACAAGGGACAGTATCTTCCAAGGGTTCATAGAAAGACTGCCCCTACCCCAGGCTTCAAGAGGACTGTGGAGATCACAGTAGAACTTACACATCATGTAGCAGGAACAGCAATCCAGTTCTGCCCTGCATACCCTGAGAGGCCCTAGGTGGCATCAGTACTCCTCTGTTCTGAACTTCCCAAAGTCCCCAGAGATTTTTCACTACCATGCAACCAAGAGTCAGAGGGAAGCCTTAACTAGATTTGTGCTGGTTGGCAACTTCACTGCTGTTGCTTTAAGGGAAAAAATATTTTGCTGAAAATGAGCTTTTTATGCATAGCAATATGTGTGGGTAGCTGCTTAAGTACAGTGAAAAAAATAAGCCTACTTTAAATCTTTTGAGTTTGGGACTAGGTAGACTAGAAGCTGCCACTTATAGGTCAAGAATCAATGAAGACAGTTCCACCAAGGCCTCCCTGGACTCTTAAGCTTCTCTCTAGGGCTTGGATCCCATTATTTTCCACAGAAGTGAGGCATCTAGGATCCCCAGTCTAGGAGTAAATTCTCTAGAAGGGGAGCTCTGAGTTGAGTAGAACTCACTGTGGTAAATGTTCCTTGATGCTACCTTCAGAATGCTATCTTACTATGGTTGTTGTCAGCAATACCTACTGTCACCGAGGGCATATAGTAGCACAGAAGGTTTCTCCATTTTCCTGAACCATATCATAACCCAAGAAAATCCTTCATTAAGTACAAGGGATTATGATCCTAAATGACATCTCAAGAGAGGCCACTGCTAATGATCCACATGTGCCTTTTCTTTGGCATGAACCCTTCACGTAAGAGTTTACATTCTTCTCCATAATGAGCACTGTGTTTATTCTCTCCTCATGGGAGTAATCTATACGTATACACTCCCCTTTTACAAGTTCCCCTTTCATAGGCCAATTCTATGTGTACTTCTCTATGCATCCCTTCTCTTGTGTCCAGTTATGATTTGGAACACAAAGCCTTCCTCTAACAAAAGCAGAGCTGATATGTGGGCAACTCATTGTTTGGGAAAAAAAGTCTTTTTTTCCCTAAGAAAAAACTTTTCTTTTTAAATCTATCTATCCATCCATCCATCCATCCACCTCCCTTTCTATCTGTCTCAAAGCCATAGTGTTCTGATATATACCTGAGTACTATATCTACATCCAGCAGGCTGGGGTCTAACTGTAGCTCAGGGAGACGTACCAGTATAAATCACTAAGCCATAGCACCAATCTGTATTCCTGATGATGCATCCTCGGAGCAGCAGCTTATCAAGGTCCAGGAGGTAGTTTTTCCCCTTATAAGTGAGTACTCCTGTGAATCTGCCCAACTTGTTATTGGGAGCATCACACCTCACTTCTCCTGAAAAAAAAAAAAAAGGAGTAAGAGTGCTGGTTCTATAATTAGGATTTTCCTAATAGGATAGAAGGAGGCTTAACATAAAAGAGGAAAGAACATCCCTCTTTCCAAATACATACAATCTTTATCCTATCCTCTCCCCATTTCAGATGCTGCCCATTTCTCACCAGCTCCCTTTAGAAAGGCAGACAATGGTTTCTGGGCATCAGAGAAGAGTAATTCTGTTTGTGACACGGTTATCCAGAGAGAGTCACAGCTGAGAAAAACCCACATGATAACTTATCACTATCAGTACTGCTAGATCATATGAGCTCTAAATCTGAAAAAAAAATTTTAAACTACTTAACTTAAAGCAAACCTAAAAAAAAAACAACAAAAAAGCAAACCTAGTATTTTCAAAATGAAAATAATTTGACTTGTTCCTGATTAGTAAAGCAAAAACATGCCTTTTGTAAATATGTATATAATATTAAAAGGAGAAAGGAGAAATAAAATTCACCAATTGCCTAGAGATAAGTGCTATTAACCTTTTGAAGTACATCCTTCAACTTTTTTCTACACATGTACTCATAAACATATGTCTCAGAAAACAAGTTTATGCTATATATACTAAGCACAATCTATTGTAATATTTTTCCATTTATGAGTATCCTATTCCTATATAATAAAAGGCTAAAATGCATATTGACCAAACAGCAGAACGACTGGTTGCTATGATGCACACTGACCACCAGGGGGCAGACGCTCAATGCAGGAGCTTCCCTCTGGTGGTCAGTGCGCTCCCACAGGGGGAGCGCTGCTCAGCCAGAAGCCCAGAAGCCGGGCTCATGGTTGGCGAGTGCAGCAGTGGTGGCGGGAGCCTCTCCTGCCTCTGCGGCAGTGAGACATCCCCCAAGGGCTCCTGGACTGCGAGAGGGTGCAGGCCGGGCTGAGGGATGCCCCCCCCTTTCCCCCCCACCAGTGCATGAATTTCGTGCACTGAGCCTCTAGTGTTACAAATATTTTTCCATGTCAATAAATATCAACTTGAATATTGTTATAAAAAGTGATATAGAATTCACTGTATGAATATAAAAACTTTATTTAACTATTCCTATACTGATAAAAATTTGGGCGGGCAAACCTATATGCTAACTTACCATTAAAGGCAGAAAGCTGATTCAAGTCATTTTCCATTTCACTGGTAACCTGGATGGCCTGCTTCACTTTCAGGTTGGTTTCACTAGAGTAAAGCACACAGAACCAGCATACAGGACACATACACAACAGCAGTATAGGTCCAGTTTCTCCTACTTCTTCATGGAGTTTTAGAAAATAGATATTGCCAACAGAACTTGGGCTATAGGTTTGAGCTGTAAGTCACTCCTACTATTCTCTCTCAATGACAGTATTGAGGTGGAATGGCTCTACAAGGAAGCTATTTTTAGCACACCCTCTCCCCTCTCTCACTGCAACACACCACGATTCTTTTAAACAACCCACAAGATCTTGCTGAATAGATGCTCTAGAGCAGCTGAAGAAACATCACAAAACAATGTGGAGGAGGCACCTGCTCCCTTCAAGAATAAGGGGCATGTCCTGTTAAAACCTGCACACACCTTCAAGTAAATAAACTCATCACTTCATAAATATTTATAGAACTCCTGAGGGGATCCCAATTAACCATGTGCTGATATAGGAATGCACAGAGACAGAGCAAAAATAGAAGCCATATTTCAAAAAGCTTGTGGACACCAAGAGGAATAGTTGTGAGAATGCAGATCCATTCAAAACTCTATAGGGCAGGCTCTCTGAAGAGGGCCTCTATCATCCTAAGACCTTAGCTTTTGTATGCTAATGAATTTCTACCTTAAATCCTTAATAGAACATGGTGTTTTATCAGTAAATAGTTACCTCTTACTGGCCCGGAAACTTTGGAACTCTATTCTGAAAATTTAAAGCTCTGTTAACCTCTTTCCTGTCACGCAGCATTATTCAATACAGCCAGACAGTGTCTCCAGTTTAGAGATGGAGAATATGAAGTTTATTTGCCCAGATTCTGTACCCAGTGAATGCTCAGTTAATGCTGTCAAGAGCTTAGCCTCAGACTTGAGGTCCCAAGAGTCTGGCCTCCTATCTTCTCTTAGCTGGATATTTCTAGCCTCTTTAGTACTTCCACATGAGAATACAATTCGTTCTTGGCATCATGTTCTCCCTCAGTGAAAAATCACTCTAAGCTGCCTCAATCACTTTAATGGACATTAGGAGGGAACACTTACCCATCCAGTTCTGCTGTTTCTATGTATGTCATACTGTAGGGCTCACTGCTAGAGAGTAATAGTATATCAGCCTGTGGTCAGAAAAGTCAGAGAAAATAAGGAAAGCAGGAAGGCGGACTTTTAACATTCCAATGTGACAAGAGCAGTTACCCTCTTTGTCTAGGACCCATCACTGCTACCATATACCCCTCTTCCAGAACTAGTCTCACATTGTCTGTAGCTATGGTGAGAGGGGACGAGAACAAGCTTCTAATCACAGGAACTGTTGATCTCTGCAGGCAAAGCGAGGCAGATGAAAGTCCCCTAAAGCAGTGGCAGCAGAAGTGCTAAAAGGGTTCCCTTGTACACACTCAAGCCAAAAGAGAAAAAGAAAAAGCCCAAGGAGGTACTCACTGTGACAGGCTGATTATTTTCTAATTTTATTATATCTCCCACTTGGATATTCATCCATTTTTTCTTCTCCATCCTATAAGAAAATAACCCTTGAATACCTGCTCTGAGAATCCCCCCCAAAGTTCTGCTTTGACAATCAAAGAAAAAAAAAAAAGCTGAGATGAACTCAAGGCTCAGAGGACGACCAAATCAGTTTGTGATGCATCACTGCTACAATCAAGAATGTGGCCCAATTTTTTCTTCAAATTCCAGGGTTATATTTCTTTAAATCTTATTCAAATCCAACTTTCTTTTAATATTATAGTATAAACATAATCATTATGTTGTTACAAAATCACTATTTATAGATCCTTGAGCCTTTTTCCTTTGGTTTCAAGTATCATCTCTATGCAGATAAATCTCAATACGTTTATTTATTTTGTTCCTAATTTTCAAATCAGGGGGATAGTACTAAAGGGTAGTAGCCGTAAGCTTTGGAGAAAAACATGTGAGTGTTTTATTTTGTCTTGAGTCAACATTCATTTTTGCCAGTTCTCTGGCATTCTGTCTGCCATGATTTTCACCAGTACAACACAGTACTACAGCATTCGGGCTTCTCCTGTAGATAAAAGCTTACATATATAACCTTTTAAATGTATGTTTTTAAAATAAAAATTTTAAATGTTGTATCATGTGTATTTATATTACATTTGTATTATGTATTGTTATATATGTTTTTAAAACAAAAATTTATATTTTGTTATACAAGGAGCTGTCAAACTATTACTACTATGTTCCTGGATATTATAACAACCATGTGTCCCAGATTCAGGAGACGGGGAGATATTCCCTCCCAATTTAAAATATTCAGTCTTATTGTGCCATAAAAGTACATTTTTAATTTCCAAGCATTTCATTCTACCTTTTGGTTTAGCAAATTTGGTCATATAGATAGAGAAGGCATTGCTTGGACGGCAGAGGAGATCATTCATATTTGTTCTCTGTTTTATGTGAATGGTACCTCCTGAAGTTCCGTAACACTCGGGTACTTTTCCTAATACAAATACTTAGAAGTGCTAGATAAAATAAAGCCAACATTTTTTCAAAAGCAAGGCAGGAGGAAACCAAGATGGCGGCATAGGTAAACACCAGAGTTTGCTGCCTTGAACAACCACTTCAAAAATACAACTAAAAGACGGAACGGACATCACCCAGAACCACAGGAAAGCTGGCTGAGGAGAGATTCTTCAACTAGAAGGAAAGAGAACAGCATACCGAGGCTCAGAGGAGGCGCAGTGTGGAAAATATAAAGGTGCGGAGGTG